ATTGCAAAAGAGCTGCAGCTCTRTGCAATGAAACTGATTCCCAGGAGGGAATTTCAGAGCAAGTAACAAAAAAAAAAAAGTACAACAGGATTCATAAGTATTAATCGATGCCAAAATTAGATACAGTTACCAATGTGGAAGCCAAAAGGTCAAAGAAAGAGGCACATCTGGCCTATGAGTAATTCAGAAGGAATTTGTTTATGCAAGGACAGGCTGACAGGATGAACTGCTGCAGTCAGCAGGGAGACCATGGGCTGAGCACTGGAGGCACCYGAGGTCACCAAACAAACCCAACCAGCAAAGGAGAGAGGTGGAGTCAGCTCTGAACATTCAGTTATGGGCCTCAGACAACATCATGATCAGATCACATTTTCTGGAAYTAGCCTCCATTCCTATCCTACAGGACTGTTTTGGAAAATTTACCATTGAAGAAATAACCAAAGGCCACGGCCTGGAGAAAGTTCTAAACCCAGCAGYGTCAAAAGAGCCCAAATGTCTGTCCTGGCTGAAAGACACATTTGAAGACTCAGGGGCCACTTGTTTCAAAGTCCTTTCTGCTGAAGTTCTGCTCTTACCAAGCTTCCCTTTGTGAAGGTCAACCATGCCTACAAATCTGGTATCTCCACAACTGAGTTCCACTTAACTTCAATGGAGCAAAGGATAAAGTCTCCTCATCACCTTGTCCTTTACAAAATAATATTTTGCCCAGYTACAACAAGCCTCCAGAAGGTATAGATTTAAACCTGAGCAAAAAAAATTCTGTATCAATGCATATTTCCTACTTTCCGTAACAATCCATAGAAAAACTGTTTACCCACTTAGCTTATATTACAAGCTTCTATTCAAAATTTTCAGTGCACACGTTTAGATAAACACCCAAGCAGAGCCCAACTGTTCATGTAACATCAACCATTCAACACTTGCCTGTRACACTTGACCACATACAGCCTTCCTGGAATTAGTCAACAATAGCAGCAAATCTATCCTATAATGAAACAAGTGTTCTTGCACACTCACATCAGCTGTAACCACATATGCAAAGCTTCCCTTGTACTTGCAAAAAAAAAAAAAAATTCACTACCAACCCCCCACAATAAAACATATTATCTGCCCTGCCCTCTCTGGAAAAAAAAAATCATATGATAAATGTTTTCACAACTTATCAGAACAGTGAACAGATCTTTTGATCTGATCCTACACAACTCTTCACACAGACAGACCCACATGTTTATGGTTACTGATCCCAGACAAGCATAAGAGCCTRTATTTTTGAAATCATATGCAAAATCCATACTTCTCATTCTGACTTTCCTTTAGGGCCTTACCACTCAATATTCCAGCACAAACCCACCCCTTTAGATTCTAGATCAAAGCAAGCACACTCACAGAATCAAGGCACGGGACTGCAAGACTTCATGTCTTCCCATCAGCTTCCCACYGCACACACCACAAGTGCTTGCCCTGAACTTTGGGTTTCAAGGTGATTATGCAACACTTTAAAGCTACAACTGTTAGCCTATAATTTAGGAGCAAGCATTTATTGCAGAGGTACTATACTACTTCTGATCTAACATTCACAGTCTCACATCTATGCTAACATACTTAGAATTCACTTCTGACAGCTTTATCACGCTTTCACATCTATGCTTTTACACCATAATCATGACTGCAATTCCTGCTCAAAGTGCCCTTCTCTTTCCTTTGCATTAGTCCTTGCTCAGATCAGTTCTACTTTCAAAGCAAGCTGCATCTCTCAAGACTCCTATTTACCAAAAACACAGGTGGGTAGAGCAACTTTGAAGTTTATGTTTACTGTTACAAACACGTCCAATACCCTGATTCATACTGAACTTGAACYAACTGCCTGAGAAATCAGCATTTTCTAAAGGCTCCAGTCTCCCTCTGCCTATGGAAGCAAAAATTGGTTTGGAGCAAGTTTGTTTTCAAGCTCACCAACCCTGACARTATTTCATTACTCTTATCCCACAGCTTATTTAGGATTGTTTTTTCTTCCTATTCATCTTGATGACAAACTAGTTTTGATGTCTGTGTTCAGCTATTCTTTCCTGCATATTAGTCAGACTTTCCCAATGAGAAACCAGATACTGCACTGAGTGGTTTTACACAGCCACTGTTTTCATTATTATCTGTGCTTTCACAACGCTTAACAAAAAAAAAATTCACAGCTAAACAGTAGTATAAGCTCTCCTTGGAAAAATATTCTCATAGATTTAGGGGTGAAAACAGTTTCAAGTTGTGTTGAGAATAGTGTTCATGTATTTTAGGGGTACCTAAACCTATATGTCTATTTTAAATGTAATGACATCCTGAAATGTCTGCAAAAATCTCAGGATTACTCAAYAGGCAGAATCCTGGCACACTAACACAGCAGTAGAGAAAGAAGGAGTAGGTTCACTTTTCATTGAAGGAAAAGGTGACGTTGGCATGAAATCAAGATCTGCAGGTGGCAGCTTCAAGTCTGAATTTGATGGGAAAAATAACTACACAAAACCACCAAAATAAGCAACTCACTATTAAAAAAGCAAGCATTTGGCTCAAAACAAGAAATTARTAAATATACAGCGAAATTTAAGTCTTGCAGTGAGTTGTAGGAGTGATGGTACTCTTAAAGAGCCCAGCATGATGTATTTCTAAGATACAWGACATGACATTCACTTGAAAGAAAAGAGTAGACTGACATGAGTGTACAAGTTACTATGGAGCCAAGATTTTCTTGCTCAGGTTATACTTAAAATAGCAAATGAAGCCATTTTCAGGGATATCAGTTTCTTTTTAACAGCAAAGAACATTTCAGATCAATTCTAAATTTAATCTTAACCTAGGGTATTCAAAACAAGSTCTCAGAGGACATTATTTATTCTTCCCCTCCTAACTTTAGCAATTTTAACTGTCTWAATCCAAGGATATAATACCAGCTATATTTTGCGGCTCCTATGCTGCATGCCCAAGCCAAAGATTGCATTTGGGTGGCAGGTCAAAAAAACTCCTTTAAAGTATTAAGACCCCAAACTAAAGTATGTTTTGCTGCATGATTGAGCATGGATTCACTTCTCCCTCTGTAAATACACAGCAGATGATCCAAACCAACTCATTATACTTCAAAATACAAAGTGCCCTGTTTCCTACAGGCTCAGAGCACCAGTAGAGCAAACCCTGGTCAGCCACCAGCACATGAATGGCAAAAGCCTGTCAGTGGCACACAAACAGCTGGACTCAGCAGCATCTGCATGTTTTGCCAGGTAAACCCTCATCCACAGAGGAATAGTTTTGTTGGAGGGACAGATGTCCAAAGTGGTTAGTCATTGTTGAAGGCRTTTGTTCAGCAGCTCCCTTCAATGGGTATCTTAAGGGGTTTTATAATGAGGAACTAAGTTTTAGAAGGGTTCAGGCATTTCTTCCTTTCCTTAAAATTACTACYAGATAATATGCTCTGGCAACAACAGCAACACAGGGGAGGGTAAATTTACCATCATTTCCCATTATCTAATGCTTTGTCTACATTATTTAAGCCATTCATTGGCATGTTACAAACCAAAAGTGGTATTTTTCTCCCAGAAAAGATTTCTGTCTCTGCTGTATTTCACGCTAGTATTACACTATGCCATATTTTAAATTAAAGCAGATAGAGTTCAAAGCTAGACCAGTTCAATAGGCTAATAAACAAAGAGGTCATTGGACTGATAGTTTCATAGGCTGCATAACTTTAGAGTTAGAACACAGGAGGGGAGGAAAAGGAAGAAGTCAGATTTAGCCAAAACCAGCTAAGGATCGATAAACACTTTCACCTCCTCCTTCCTTATAGGCCTGCTTCCTCCCATGCTCTTCCAGTGACCTAACATTAACCAACTCTGGTTGTTTGCTTTCTTTACACAGCACTCCCCATAGTAGGGCATCAGGCTTAAAGCTGCAGACTCARATCTTGTCCATCCCAAAATACTACGGCTATTCCAGTATCTCCAGCAATGGACTGAAGACATGTTAAATAAAAGCACCACTGTCTTTGAGAGACAACACAAGTTCAGAACCCCAGTAAAGATCTAAACTGATGTTGCCACAGAGCAACAGATGTTGGCTACAAGTTTACCCTTCAGCCGGGGCAATGCCACTTATGCACAGACCCCCCAGTTCACAAGAAGTCTTTCAGCTTACAGCTCATGCTGAACAAGATTAACCAAAAATCAGCCATGGTAATAACATATGGCAGAATCCTATAAGTATACCCAAATGTATCAAAAATATCCTAAGACTGACAAGACAAAATAAAGACATTTAAATGAATCATCCCCATGTGCAAAAATTACAGCTTGTATGGGCAGTAGCTTTAAAGGGTCACTTTTGTAACAGCCAACACCAGTTCCACTTAGATCAATGCATCACTGAATTACTCAGTTTCTGGATTTATCCCTAGGTACAGTCAGAAMTCAGAGGTCTCTTAACACATGATTCAGGGAATAGATATGAACTAATGTCTCCAGGTATTTAGGAAAGAAGCCCTAGTACAATATGTCACCTATTTGTCATGTGTGACACCTACACGCAGCAATTTTTTTTTGTCTTTGCTGACTGTCAGTGAAAAGATATTGTGAACATTTTCTATTTTCAGGACTGACACCAGCCTGAAGGATTCAGATCAGCTAGCAAAGCCAACTTCACCTGTTGCTCACATCTGCTTTTTTCTGTGAACTATCATTCATGTCATTATGAACCACATTCTTAAACAGGGGCTGTTATTAAAAAACCACATCTACACATGCACTAAGTTTATCTTCCTTTTAAAATCATTATTTATAATTTTCCTATAAAGTAAGCACAGTTAAACAAAAACAAACAATACCAGATGAGTTMAAAACCAGGTACCTCTTGCAGCTCAAGTATCAGGGAAAGATGATTCTGGAGTTCTACCACTGGAGTCACACATTCCCAAGCTGCACAAAGTGTACTGAAAAGGAACTGTCCATGATTACTGCATGCAGACCTACCCCAGTGCCATGGGTCCCATCCACACTGCTGCCACATTTCTGGGGTTTCACTACATCACCATAATCAGTTGCAAAGTTAGTCTTCCACACCATCACCTGCAGAAGAAAGTTAACRCCATTAAAATTTTCCATCTAAGTTGATTATCGGTCAGTTTTTTCAACCCTACAGAGAAAAGTCAGCAAATCCACACTAAGTTTACCTTTAAGAAGAGCTTTGCCATTGATTAAATTAAGGACGTTGTTTGTAAATATCTACTGAATATAGACACAGCTCAACTGAGTTCTCAATGGGTAAGTGACCTCTTTCAATATTCTCTGGGTCAAGAACATGATTAAACTAGAATGACCAAAGAACTTCAAAGCAACATGAAGAATACACCATTAAAACCACAAATAATTCATAATACCATGCTCAGCATTATGACATTTATCAGCCACACCCCAAMCAGCCAGCCACTCATTTATCGTGACAATCATTGAGAGGAAAAGGAGAGTTAGTACTAAGACYGGCATTAGATATTGAAGCTAGTTTGGCAGCTGGACATCAAACTTAAATCCCACTTACAGGCTTCTACTCTCCATAACACAGTACTGATTTCAGAAAAGAGGTCTCTAACACATAAATCACATCAAGAAGAAATCTGTGGAGTAAACCACTCAGCAGTGACTCTGCAAGTATAAAAAATTTTAAGAGCAATAAGTCAATGATTTCAGAGGTCTAAAAGACAGCCAAGAATCCAGGCAGCTCATCTGGTTGTCAGAAAGAGCATTTATTCTTCATTTATAAATTTTCATCACTGCTTTGCATTAAATGAAACAAGGCCATTCCATTGTGCAACAGGGAAAAAAGAAAGCAATGTTCTTAGAAGACGATCTCCTCACAGCTAGAAAAGGTGCTGTTAAAGATGGGTCTAACCTGGGGATTAAAAAAATGCAACACTGCCCATTGAAAACTCATGACAGACTCATCCAATAGGCCAACTGCTGGCAGTCTGGTCACTGGGTATGGGTTTTTTGAGAGGCTACATGTCTTAAATTACCACACAAAAAAAAATGGGTTTGACCTCCAGAGACGAGGTTGATAGTACAGCAAGCCACTTCAACATGATCCAGACATATGGGATACATTTTTGCTTTCCACCACTAACAACAGAAAACAAAATGTAGCACCTTTTAAAGATATGTGAATCTGGATTATAACTCAGAAAAGAATCAGATACCTGTTCATCAGAACCTCCAGAAGCAAAAAATTCTCCATCTCTTGAAAACGCTACACAGGTAGCTGGCCCCTGCAAACACATTTAAAAGATAYATTTTAAAAAAAGGTAAAAGAAAAGGAAGTGTTACAAAGTTCCATTTATTATAGCTTTACAAGGTATTTATCATATGACATCAGTAACCTAAGGCAAAATTTGAAAAGCTCTTACCTGTCAGATAAATGCACCACAATTAAGATTCTAAGCTTGCTGGCATTTAGCATTTCCCACACTTTGACCCTAGTTTAAGACAGCCACTTTTCAGATCCATGGCATTAAAACAGAGACAACAACAAACCAATTTTTACAGGACCATGCTTTTTCTTGTTGTCCTCAAACATTCCCTCTTCACTTAAGAATTAGAAATTTCTACAACTGCGTGGTGAAACTATGAGGTTCTATTACTATTACTGAAGAATAGTAGGCTGGCTTAAACTGCCTTTCTCTTAGTAGTTTTACAGGAGAGATGCCAGAGTTAATGCATCCAGGGCCATCTCTGCACAGCACAAGCACTTGCATTCTGAAGAAGCCTCAAGCTTAAAACAGTCATTTCTGAGAGACTCGAAATGCTGCTGAGTGCCACAGCACTGCTGGAACAGCAGCACACCTTCCACACCACACATCTACTTCAATGTGTTTTCCATCTTTCAGCAAGCCCACAGGAGAATGCACATGGGAAGGCTGAGGTYGGTGCTCCAAGCTGCAGTTAAACAGAGCTGGGGAATTGCTACGTGTGTTCAAGCCCAGGCACAACAGATAAACTGCTCTGCTCAGAGTAAACAGCTGAGAACCCAGATGGTGGAGTTTTATGTCAGCTGCTGAACACATTTCTTTGCAGACTGTTCACCAAAATGGGCAGAGATCAGAATGAGAACTTCCAGAGACTGCCCATGGAGCTGACTGGCTGGGGAGGGTTGGGAGGAAACAYCAAAAACAAACACCAAAAACACAACCAGAAAAGTCACAGCTACCACCAGAAGAAACTCCACCACATGATCAYACACCTCCTGATAGACACAGGCACCCTCTTTCAACTAAGATCACATATCTCAGAAGGCAATTAAGAAGCTTCTCCTCATCCTGCATCAAGTTGGAAGGAGAGACAATTCTGAGTCCACATCTTCCCAACGGACATTGCATAGAAAACCCATATCCTTTCTTTGCTTCCTTTATAAAAGTGAACTCATCATAATAAACACTGAAGGCAGACAAATACCCAAAGATTGCACCTGGGATAAGCACCCAGCTCTCACTGCAACCTATGCCCCACTGTCATTTGGGCCTCAAAACCTAACACATGGTTATGCCAGCAAAACCTGAGCCTTGCTGTGGTCACTCCCAGTGTGAAGTTTTGGCCTCCTTAAAACACATTAAGGTACTTATCTATTATCATTTCACATACAATAATTTCAGAATGTTTTGAGGCCTTCTAATAGCAACACCTGACTTGAGAGAACTTGCCAGAAGTGATCCAGTAGCAGCAATTCCAAATGGCACGCGCAGTTGCTGGTGTGACTAAGCTGGTTCACCTGACACAGCAATAACTAGGGTAGATATTTCAGACCAAAGACACTGCCATCAATCAGCTGAGACAAAGTGTGCCTCTGCCTTTATTCCCACCCACCTACCCCAGTGTTCAGCTCTCTCATCACATGCAGGCTTTAAAAGAAATGCAAAAGCAAAAGACAAATAAGCAGTAAGAAAGGGAAAAAAAACAGCTACACAGCCAGAAAACTGCAGTGACGAATATTGCTCTGAAACAACAGAGGTGAGCATACAGAAGCTGCTCTTGGACTATAATAAACCAGCTAGAGTTAGGAGGGCAGAAAAATATTTAAGACAAAGTGTTCAGAAACAAGCACAAGAGAGGAACGTTGGAAAGGAGCAGGGCTTCCTAAAAATATTTTTATCAGTCTAAATATTTCGGTGTATTTAGACAAAATCTAGTACAACACAAATCACATCAAAACAGGCAATGAACTGACTCCAAAGTCATGGCATTTTGAAGGGAAAAAAAGTTCAACAGAACATACTCTTCCCAAAATAGAAAATTATATCAAAGACTGAATGTGCCTTTATAAATTGAGAGAAAAGGAACAAACAAGTCTATAGACGCAACATCCKCTACAGATTTGCTGACATAAATTAAGTGAAAAGCATTCTTGCTACATACACTTACAGAACTCTTCCAAGATACAACAGGTTTGCTATGGCAACACACAAATAAGGGTTTGCCAAATACCCTTGCAWTTTAATATAAACACACCAAACAAAAACAAAAAGCTATACTTGCTAGTTATTAGACACAGTCTAACTTCCATTTGTTCCAGGTAAGCACAGCAGAAACCCAACACATTTCTGATGAAGTCCTGGACAAGAGGCATGAGGTTGGAGACTGGGAAGTTCAAATTTTCTTTTTTTCCTCTCTTTTAATTTACAGCTTGCATTAAAAATATCAAAAAGTAGCAGTTGCATATTCTTCTATAGAAGTTCTAGAGAGAATTTAAAGCTTATTCCCCACATAACTAGAACTTGTGGGGTGCAGCAACCTTCTACGGGATCGCTCAGCTCTTCTTTCTGTAGCAGGATCAAATGGCCTTCTGTTAATAYTTCCTGGAGGTTCTGAATTTCCAGCCTGCATCCCCATTGCCCAGGGTGCTTCACACAAGCTGCTAACAACAGTACCCAAATTCCTGCAACTTCTTGTCTTAGACTAGACAGCAAGCTGCAGGACGAAGGAGTTAGTTAGTTACGAAGGAGTTACCAAGTCAGTGGTAAGGAATGTTTCTATTTAATCTTCAGCAGGTCAGCATGAGGACTGTCAAGCTTTTGTGCATGTAGAGTTTGAAATTGTAACAGCAGCTTTAGTCATACTGGGACAGCTGCAGAAATTTTGACAGAAAGAGCAGAAGAAAGCACCAAGTCATCTGCTGAAATTGTTGAATGAAAAGACCATGGCTACTAATCAATATTTGACCCATCTCCTCTAGTGAAAGAGCACCAGGAAAGGTGGAGGCCTCAGAAAGCCCTGAAAAGGACAAAAAAAACACTGGGTGGAGCAAGGCAACCATAAAGAAAAGAGAAGGCATACAGAAGGAACGACAACAGCATCAAACCTCATTTGCAGCAGCGTTCCCAGTGAACAAGATTCAGGCAAGGTCAGATATGCATGGCAAGGCAGCTTAAACACCAGGTGACAGCCCATTTCTAGCTGCATACGTGGGTAGGAAAGGTGAGGCCCAGCATGTTACATAATTTATGTGCACAGACAGAGATTACACCTTCTCCCCTTTTYCCTCTTACTACAAAGGAGGTGACTGCAAGACCTTTATTGCCCCAGCATTTCACAGGTTGGTCAGCTTACATAAAACATGAGGTTTGGCCTTCAAAATAGATGTTCAAAACTATTCTGAATGACTTAAATGCATTAATCGCCAAGAGAGACAGGATCTGAAGCCAGGACACAGATTACACTGCCAAGTGACTGGCARGATGCTTAAAAGCATCAGTAACAACTGACACAGGGATGATATAAGACAACAGGAATAGCATCCCTGAACACAAAGCTTTCAAGGGGAGAGCTAAAAATAGATGACTCTGAAAGAAATACTTAAGAGAAGGGCCAAGAGTTTCACTTGGAGAGATATGGCTGGAGCCCAGAGTCACACCTGCATGCAGGAAGCAGACGAATGTGTAACCATCCATAAATAATGAGTGGACATTGACAGAGAAATCCCTCTTGAACRTCCTTCCCTTCTCCCAGAGCTGCTGGGGACAGAAGGCACATATCACTACAATAACAACAGGGCCAACACCAACGGGCAAGTCAAGAGAGGCCAGACTTTCAGGCTTTAGCTAGGAACAGAGCTAACATTTTGGCTTCAGCATAACAGAAGAAACAAGAGCCAGGTTGGAGAGGGTCCAGGAATAAACTAGAGAAGAGTAGTTCAATGATGCACTGTCTGCACTATGAAAGGAGAGGCAGCGTAAAAGGAAGCTGGAGAGACAAGTGGGGTCAACGAGGCAGTAGATTTCTCTTTTTTTCTGTGTTTCAGTCCTCGGAGAAACATATGCATACTAAAGAAAAACCAGGTAAGAGAGCAAGGGAAGTGATAAGAGCTGGAATAAGGCTTAGCTAGAGGATGTAAATAGTKAAATTAAAGGAGAGCTTCCTCTCCCACTGTCACAAAAGGAGATGTAGAAGTGGGAGCCAGTATATCCAGTCAAATTCTCCAGGAATGGACAAACTAGTGCAAAAGGAAAGAGTAGACAGGAGAGGAGAAAAGGCCTGAGAAGAAAATCCAGCAACAACCAGCACACTGGGATCCCAGCCCTGGCATCATCCGTTCTAGGCATAAAAGAACTAATAACAAACAGAGCAGTCATTGTCACTGCTGTCACTGCACTGACAGTGCTTTCAGCTGCTTCATACATGGGAGAAGGGGGCAGGTCACATAGGAAAGGGAGAAGGGAAGGAAAYCAAGGAGAAAAGCACAAGGAATGGAGGTGGCAATGACAACAGGGATGTTTTCACATGGAATACCTTTGACAAGAAGCCACAAGGAYTCTCAGCCATAAGCCTTTGAAAAATTCCTGAGTAAGACTGTCATGCTTGCACCCTCCTTCACCAGGGAGTAAGGGATACAACTAACACAGAGAAAATTTAGACAGGCATCTTATAGCTGAATCTTCAGCAGCTTTAACTCCTGAAAGCTTCAGTCTATCAAAACACAAAGCAAGGACAGAGAACTCATATTTCTATTTTAAGACTCAGAAATGTTAACCTAGAGTTAGTTGCTTTTGTTTGCAGCTCACCTTTCTCTTTCTTTTTTTGTTTGACTTCTATGTAGGCCTGAGATGTCCTCATCCCCTTCAAAGAGGACCAGGCCACCTAGGCAGCACTGGCAGCAGTAAAGAAGCACATTTCTTTCCTGTGCACCTGCTTAGGAGACCTCATTGATTAGTCAGTGAGCAGAGCACAGAACATTTATGTTGCCCAGGTAGGTAGAACACGACTACTTCACAGCTCAAGTTGAGGGTGCTTGAAGAATTGTAACTTTGCATTTTCTGTCTATTTATGAACAYAACCATCAGATGTTTTTCTAAATATTTACTGAGAACTTCCATCCACTGAGGAAGTCGGACTGGAAATGCTCTTATTAAGCCACTTCACAGGGCAGACAAGTACCATGTAAATACCTGCTCTCCTCTAGCAACTCTCTGAGGGTGGCTTAGGGGCCTCAAAACATTCTGTTCCTCAACACTGATTCAGTACTAGAGGTGGATTTATACATACCAAGCCAGTGTCTCATCTGTATGGAATTAGATAAGAGCACTTCACAGCTTGAAGCACTCCWGAACCAAAATATGCAGCACAATACAGAATGATATTTTGCAGCTGCAAGATGTCAGTTCCAAGCTGCAAACTTCTAATGATCCTTCTGCTACAAGGGGCCAGCTACATTTCAGTTAAAGACAGCAATGTAAACTTGGCCAACCTCCCCATGTAAACTCCAGCTAATCAGCTGCTAACAAATTCCCGGCACTCCAGCAGTTGCGTCAAAGTATGTCTACAGGACCTTAAGGTTTTTTTCCTTCAAGTGTCCACTGCATRCAGCCTTCCCAGAACAATGTAACAGCAGCCAGCTGTTAGAGTAGGAACAAAGTGTCAACCACACAAAGTCACAACTCAAGAAGRTCTTCAGAACAGGCTGTCCATCTGGTGATAACCTGTAGCCCTCCCTTAAAAAGGTAAATCTACCTAATGACCAAAAAAGCACACACCACTTCGTTTTTAGCCACTTGGGGATACTGGCACAAATCACAGTGATACCAAAGRGGGGAAAAATGTAAAGATTTACTGTCTTTCCAACACTTACTCTTTTCCAGGAATCTACTTCCCAAGAACTCACTGGGCAGATTAACACAATAGACTAATATGAAAACAAGATTAAGACAACTGAAGCTTTGCAACCCTTATCTAATAGGAATATCTACTTAGTCCAGTTTTCTTTGTAAGAAAAGTTTTATATACTCAAGGCTGCCATGTTAGGATAACCACCATTTGTTATGTCCTCCCCATCCTTTCAGCATTTGAACCCTYTAGTCAGTTTTAACCAAAGCTCTAATTCATGCAAGATTTAAGCATGAGGTTTTCTTGGTTTTTCCATTAATATTACTAAAAGGAAAGTTTATTAATATACAGCAGAAGAGAATTTATAGAAGAAACTTGACCTTTCTAGGCAYTGAACAAGGCAGTCACTAAACAAAGCCACAAGAAACCAGAATTATCAATTTTACAGATTACACAGAGACCATTATTGCCCACAACCATCCCCGTCATCTCCAAGAGCTTCAGGCTGTGTTTTTCCCCTGACAGTTTTTATGCTTTAAAACTCAGCCCCCACCTTAAAGGAGACACATACGAGTTAAGAATTTCTGTTCTCTYTGTCCCTTAAGAATGAGAGCCCTTAAGGCAGGCCTGCTTTTTCACATGCCACTCTGCATGGACAATGGAATTAATCTATTTATTTTCATTTAAAATTTAGAAAGAGAGCTCCAAGCATTCATAAAATTAACCTTACATGCAACACATCCAGCAGCATAATATTAATAGGCCAATCAGTTAAACTTAACCAACCAGCACCATTTATCACCTTCAATTGTATGATTCAGTCCATTAACAAGATGTTCCCAAATCAAATCCCAAAATAGATTTCCTCTATTTTACTGCTACTGCTCTTGAGTCTCCTGCCAGGTGAACAGCATTTATCTTCAAAACATCTATGTCAGTGTTATTTGCAGCTCTCTAGAGAGGGAGGGAGACAGGTCTGCACTAGAGAATGGCTGACAAGGTCAGAGTTTAGGGGCTCCTCCGAGTCCCTTCTGTCTTGGAGTTGAATCCTTAATGTTGGAGTTCACTTTTAATCTTGCTTTCTTATTCTCTCCATTCCTGCCTTACCTCCTTCCCTTCAAAACAGTGATGATCTAAAAGATTATTAGTATTATAATCATAAGTTTACATAAGGAAGTTTTCAAACCATTTTTGGCYATGAAGAATGAAAGCCTCAAGCAATGATCTGCTCAGTTTATTATGAGGTTGTATATAACTGTAAAAAAGGCTTTGCCTCACCTGGTGACCATGGAGAGTATAGAGAAGTCTTCCTTCTAGCAAATCCAGAATTTTAAGAGTTGAATCATTGGAAGCAGTAACCAGATAGTTTCCAGAGGGGTGAAAGGAAAGACTGTTGACCACAGAGCTGTGCACTAAGGATGGAAAAAAAATGTATAACAGTCACTGAGACCAGTTTACATAAGTTCAAGGCAAAAGAATAAAATAAAGCACAAGCACATTCCAATTTTCTGTTATAAAATTTAACAGGAAAATTACCATGGGGGAAACATTCCACAAAAGCTCTTCAAAGCACTGGAGAACARTAACAGTAACTCAATTCTTGTAAAAATAGGCACTACTTTGCTGAAAGGAAGAAGGAAGCTTTGCCAATTTTTCTGGGAGATTTAATGCTACAAAAGCTTCCAGTATAGCCCCAAAATGTACTACGTGTGCAAGAGAGCCACAGGATTCTGCGAGAGCACTGAATACTGACATACTTGTCTACTGTGGAGCTGCTGGTCTCACTCCCAAATCATTCTAGATTAAAATCTGTATGTTAGGACACTAAGAAGACTGAAATTACAATGGTAGACACTCAGAGTTGACACTGCACAGCTTCTTTTGGTTTACTATCTGACTCTAGCCAAGACAGGATTTAAGAGAAACTAGGAAATAAGACCAATTTGAAAATGGTCCAGTATAAGCATTATTTCCTCAGACATCCTATTTGTCTCACTAAAAAATTTAAAAAAAACATAAATAGGCAAGCTATCCAGAGTGTGAACTTCCAATAAAGCAATTTTCCCTGCATGAAGATGAAGACCAAGATTTATTTTGTAAAAAGCTAAAGAAAATGTTCCAGGAAAAGAAGTCAAACTTCACTGAAGTTCATTGTAACATTAAACATTTAATATATGACTTTTTCCCTCCTCAAACTTTCAAAAAACAGGCTATTGAACATATTTATTTATGAGAACATGCAGTACTTCACATATGCCCAGCTTTCTGAGCGTATGTGACATTACAGAGTATTAATATTATGCCTGAGGAGGGATTTAACCATCCAATTATTCTTAATTATACTATATGCCCTCCAAATGTTCTGGTACCTCCAATATACTACTTGTGATACATCACATCCAACTAAATWTATGTTCTGTTGAGAATCTAATGTGCATTTTAAATCCACACTGCATGTTAAAAAAAACCACCCTTAAAATACCATTTTAAATACATTAGAACCAAATATTATTTTTTGAATATGTGAATTTGAAGTAGATAGCTGAAATAACCTTGCTCAATTGTAAAACAGAACATCTTTCCTTTTGAAACTCTCAAGAATACTAAATACCKCAGCTTGAGTTCTGAAAACTCCTCTTGATCCAGACTACTAAAAAACACAAAAGAAAACCTTAACAAGGTAACTTATCATCTTGTTGGTGAATGCTGCCTCTCTCACACAGCTAGATCTTCCTCTACCTTGTATTATGCTATGTATTAAAGAAAAAAGTCTATGTGGAACTTTTTTCTTATGAAAAGGTGATAAATATCTTTGTCCCTTGAAAATCTTATTCTGAGTGATTTGTAATATTCCTCACCCCTTAAGTATCTATATGCAGGTAAATGCAAATGTGTTTTGTCAACTAAGGAAAGTCCTAAAAGGAATCACATGAGAAATAGACAAAGCTAGTGATATATCWCATCTTCCAAGTTCCAGACAGTAAATAAAGTATTCCCAGCTTCACAAAAAAAACCTTTCCATAATGGAAAAAAGTTATACAGACTGTGGCTGCATAAGCAGTCACAGTTTCTGTGCCCAAGGACTTCTTGGCTCTTGTAAACTCAGAGAAAAGTTCATCCCTACTGCCAAAGTAGCTCATAYCTCCCACAAGACCATTCATAACACCTCTCCAAAAACGTGCTAACACATCCTGCCACCTCACTTGTTTTCATGTAGAAAATAAATTGAGTGCAGCACGAGGTGGCATCTCCCAGTGACTTGCTGCTACAACCCTTCTGCCAGCCCAGCCTTAGCAAAATAAGAGCCTGTTAAGGGACTTGTACTGGGGGCTAACATCTAAAATTGAGCCCTTTCAGCATGCAGYGACTGCACAAAACTGTCCCAAGCCTCACAACACTTCTTTTATGTAATACATCCCTTAGTAACCACCAGTGAGAAGATAAATTAGGAWGGACTTGACACAGCCACAGTCCCTGCCATACAGATAACCACCATCAGCCCCATCCAAACTGGATAAAAGTACCAATCATTCTTTTTTAAGAGGAATAAAAAAAAAAAAATCAGAGCTGTTTCCACAGACCTGYCATAGAGGTGTCCCACACACAGCTTTGGACTGGGAAAAAATGTCAGGCAATAAACACTGGCCATTTTTGTAGGGGCTGTACAAAATCTGCTGTACCAAGAAGTCWGCGCCAAGCAGAAGACCAAATAAAGCATCTGTGTGTTCTCCTGTACAGTAAACGTGACCAGAGCATACTTTGCTTGGCTCAAAGAAAAACACACCATACAAAAGATTTTCCAGCTTGCTGTCTACTTTCAACTTTCATTTACAAATGTCACAGTTGGAACAAGTCCTGGCAACAAGAGCAACACTGCTAAAAGACTAATCGGTGCTGGAAACCAGCCCAAGTTTAAGACGCAAGAGCCTGAGGCAGGGMTACTCATCTATTAACTCCTCCATGTTTAAAATGGACTCCCTGGAAACCGGGCAGCATCAGCACGTTCTGAAGGCACAGATGCCATCTAGTGGGACAGGACTAGCAGCCTCACAGGGGAGCCACAAAACTAAATCAGATTTAGCCAAAAGGAGGTGTATAAGCCCTCAGAGGGGCAGCACTTACAAACACATATCCAGAAGAGGTTGCAAACACATCAGTTTGTGGTCATAGGTGCATGAAATGACTGCAAAAAGTCATTACTGCAATTTTCRGTTTCTTCAGCTATTATTACTATTTTTAGTTCAAAGTTTAATACACAGTTAGGATTTACACAGTAGCTGTTAAAARTAACACTCACCCAAGGAAATGATCACTTCAATAGCAATGGTGTCACACTAAAATGTCATTCAGTAAGAGTGYGATATCAGGGAAATATGTCATTCCAAGATAAAAAATAAACCTGGCAACCAAACCTAAACCACATTAGATTTGGACAATTTAATAGCAGTAAGTGGAAAGCAGGAAGGGATGACTTTTGAGCCAAGTTATACTGTGGCTGGAAACATGCACAGCAGATCTTTCACCATTGAAAAGCTGATAAAGTAGGTTAAAGGACAATCTGACACTGCCCAAGTATTTAAAAATGCTACTGATTTTAGCAACAAGATTTCAGGAAGGCGTTTCCATGTTTTGATATGGGTCACAAGTTAACAATGCTTATTACACAAACTGCATGCCCAATACTGATGAATTGGAACATGCATCAAAGAGTGATTTCTATCAGATTTTGTTAACTATCATAAAACTGGAAGGGACTGTGMTCTAGAAGAATAACTGAAGCTGTGAGGCTGTCACAGGAGGACCCCCCCAAGAGCTGATGTTGAGGGCAGAAAGAACACACCAAGCTCCAGCCTCATGCCTCTAATCTGTTTTACAAGCACACCAGAAGCAGCTCCTCACAGAAAGTTAGGAAAATTAAGTTTAATAAGCTATCAACACTGGAAACAGTGATTAAGAATGTATTGATTTTAAAATATCATACCAGCCTTAACAATTGTTATTAGTAAGGAAAAGCCACACTTACACTGAAAAAACTAAAGAACAGGTCAAGCAGTCTCAAAGAAGCTGGCAGGGATGGGAAAGAATCCTTTTCCTATTCAGTACTACCAAACAGTAGCACAAATCAGTGGCACAAGAACAGCTAACAGGAGGAGATGCCATTTGGCATCATCAAAGCTAATGATGGAAGYTGAAAACCAAACAGATTCTGGAAAAGGAACCATAAATACAGATCATGGTATATAATTGCAACTGATTGATTTTGATTTTTCTTTTTTGTTAACTTTTCCTGATCTTCTCATAGAAGAACCTAATGTTTTGATCTGCTTGAATACATCTGACTCATCCTATAGGGTTATTCAAAGRCAAAGACTACATCCTTTTAATTGCACCCCACCTTCTCAATGAAATGGCATTACAGGTAAGACCCAAGCCCACCTGTGACATGAGACAGCTTCAGAATCAGTTTCAGAGCTAACACAAAGCAAAGCACGACATTTGCTGAAGAAAGGCTTCCACTGGCAGGCCTAACCCAGTTTGGAAAAGCAGCAGCTGATAGAGAAAGAGTCCTTGAACTTGAAAGAGCACTTTGTATCAATACATGGTCTGTAAGCTTTTAACTTGCCTTGGTAATGCTGAAGCAGTCTGTTCATCCTGATATCCCACACCTTCACCGTGCTGTCCGTACCCCCYGCAGCAATGCAGTTACCACTGGGATGGAAATCCACGTGGTTCACAAACCTGTCAATGGCATCAAATCCAACTGCTTACATTCAGCTCTTGCTGAAGAGCAAAAAAGCCTTTTCAACAAGGGAAGCAACACCATGACTCATTGAACATTAAGGAAAGGAGGAGATAACGTGAAAATTTATTTTGCTGAATTTCTTTCAAGAACTTGCTTCTAACTCCAGGAAGACTGCAGGTTCCTATCATGCACACCATCTTCAGTAGTTCAAATTACAGGTGTAGGAGCTGTAGACACAAACCTCCTGAAATCTGATGGATCCAACTGTCATAACAACATTTTCAAATGTTCATTTAATGTTTGCATAATATATGTCTTCTATTAAATTATCATTATTTCCAGAGAGATGTGTACAAGACTGAACAGATATTTTTCTGCTATTAACTAATTTTAAGATGGAACTTAGTGAATTTCTGCCTRAAATCATACATCTCCACTTGTAAAGTAGCCAGGCTGAGGCCAAATTTCCTTCTGGACCTGAATCCAATCAATTTTTAGTTGGAACACTTAGGGAAGGATATCTTGTAACTCCTCACCAATTAGACTGGATAAAATTAATTATATTTTGAGTATTCTTGTAACAAGTACTGAAAAAGTTGAGATRTTTCAATAGGTTGTTTGGACAAAACACATACTTAAGAGCAATGAAAAAAAAACGTTGTCTGAAGTTGTCCTAATATCATTGTGTATTACCTAGAAAGAACATAACATTGTAGAGGAAATTCAATCCAGCAAGCAATTAAGGAGAATCCAGTCTCAGTTCTCTAAGGACTTGTTTTATGTTTCTGGGTAAATTATCTTTTGTGGTGGCTCAACATTCTAAATTTAACAGCTATTTTTCTGAATGMAAAGTGAGGTGTTTGAATAACCTCATTATTTAAAAATCTGAAGATGAATCAAAGAATTCAAATGCCATTCTGTCAGCAGACTTTTGCACTTTTAATTTAGGTCAACTCAGAGCAAAATAAAAGAGCTAAACATAGCTAGAAGAAGAAATAAGGAATATAAGCATCTCCCAAAACAAATAAGCACAAAGAAACTGAGGCTTGATGTGCTGGACAGTTACTGAAATACAACCCTTCCAGTTCTAACCTGGAGCAGTCAAAGAGGCCAGGGCAATTCTGGCTTGGGCCCTCACACTGGCTGCTTTTGTAAGAAGTGCTTATAGTTTTTTAGGCAGTTTGAGGATTGCCAGGACAGAGATCTCTGAACCTCACAAACCAGGTGTAGATTCCCTAGACAATCCCACTTCAGACATCACCACCAGGTACTTACCCGCCATGCTCACAGAAGGAGTGGATGCATTCTCTGCTAGTTTTGTCCCACAGCTTRACAGTTTTATCATCACTGGCTGACACTATCAATCGTCCATCAGGAGAGAATCTAAGGTAAGARTTACAACAGTTAAGAAGTGCCCCCAAACAAAGGGAATGCAGGGTCAACTGAATTTGGCCAGCTGTCCAAGTATGTTGGTAAACACACCTTGCTTTTCAAGAAGTCACAGTGGCCTCAGTGAGACTGAAAATCCAAACATTAAGTTGAGGGAAAAGAAAGCAACCCATAAGTACTCAAACTACCCCTAACTCCAWGGGCATATAAAATAACCCACAGGGAAGTCATGAGTCTCACTTAAGATCTTGTGTCCTACGTGTTTCAATTTAAGTGTACCTCAAGTTATTTCACTGCCCTGATTCAAAACAATTCCTGCCTTTGCCACAAGGGTTCAGAGCAACACAGTTACTCACAAGAATACAGCTGCAGCACAGCCTTCACCATTCCAGTGTTTTACGAGAATATATTAAATTAAATTCCCATCTTAAAATCTCATCCATGTGACAGATCCAGAGCTCTCTTCAGTGGTAGACACACTACAGAATCAGGATATGAATCCCTAACTAGAGACAATCAGACATACTGGAAAAACATCCTTTCGACTCTTCTAAGGGCATCTATAGTGCTRTCAGCCACTGTCACATTACAGAGCTGTCATGAACTTTTCACCCACAGAGGAACCATGGCTTTATCCTAGATATACATATACATAAACAACTCCTCAAAAACAGATCTCAAACAYTTATCAGGAAATAACATAATTATCATAATTATTATTATTAATTTTAAGCAGCACTTAAAACATTTTGGAGAGAGCAAAGGTGATCATTTTAACTAGGGGGATGACAAGTCTAAAGCAACTAAGCTGAAATAACAGTAGAAAATCTCTCCTTTTTTCCTCTAAGTAACTTCAGGACACAGAATTCTCCTTACCAGGTAAAAGCAAAACACAAAGAAGAAAAGCCTCTGACAGAGTCACTGAAGAAACACAAAGCAGGTCCAGACTATTACTCAAAGGATCTCTCTACAGGTCAGCAACATAGTTCATGCACAAGACACACTTAAATCACCCTGACCAGAAATGTGTTACACCAGACTATGACACTGAGCTTCTGCTTTGAGGGATAAATCCCCATGTCTATTTGTCAAGAGAGCTGTACTCACCTGGCACAGCGAACCCAGTTGATGTGCTGACTCAGTGAGAACAGAAACTTCTGCCTGTGAACTGTCCACACTTTGACTGTTTTGTCATCGGAAGCTGTAACTAAGGACTGGCCATCGCTGGAGAAATGGACACTTCTCACAGTTGCTGTGTGAGCCTTGAACACAGTTGGTTCTCCTTTGCTATAGRAAAGGGAAGAGCTCCTTAAAATTGCACAACAGGGCAGCAAAGCCATTCTGTACCTGAAAACACAGAGCTGSGGTATGCTGAGAAGTGCTAGTACCCATCACTTCTATGGGAACTGCATGGGATCACATTAGGAAAAAAACTTGCTGATGCTTCATGAGTTATACAGAATATACAGTTAAAGCCAGTTGTTCCAGTTCCACACTCGAGGCCAATCCAAATAACCCATGTTTCCTATAAAGGGGCAAAAAATGCTACTAATTTGTGCAACCATTTAAAACACTTATGAAAATACCAGTATAAGAAGACACTGAGGTTCTGTACTGTTGCCAGGTCCTTTGCTGTAAGGCAGGCAAGGAGAGATGTTTTCACAGTTCGTCTGGACTGAACCAAGCAGGCAACAAGCTTACAACTGTTACTGTAATGGCCCATGCTCCAGCTGGACAATTCCAATGCCATGTCACATGAGAAATAACACAACTGAATTCAGCACACCTGATGCTGTRCAACTGTGAGCAACACAGCCAGGCAAGACAATTCAAATGCGTTATTTCTTYTTTACACATCATTTCCAAATAAATACAAGGTGCATTTTTCTGGCAAATAAACACAAGGCGTATTTAGAGATCCAAAGCACAGCATATTTAGAGATCCATCAGGTTTATGGAATTCTCAGTCCAAAATCTGTCTCCAGCATGTACTGCACCATATCCACGAAAGGAAGGGGAAGGGGAATGACACAGTGGTTCTTCTTCCCCTCAAACAAATACCTGTTCCTTAGTCAGAGAACTGCTACAAAGAAATAAGAAAAAATCCTAAGCCATAGATAAACACAAAGAGAGCCAGAATGGAATAGGTACTCACAAACTAGGGCTCCACAAACGGACTGTTTTGTCTCTAGAGCCTGAAGCCACTAGGTGACCAGAAGGTGAGAAYTGGACACATAAAACTGCATCTTTGTGGCCCACAAAGCGATAGGCTCTCATCTGAGGCTTCATGCTCCAGACCATCAGGCACGAATCCATTGAGCCACTTGCTGAAATAAAAAAGGAAAAAAAAAAACCACATAAACCCAAATGTGCACTAGTTCTCCTCCAATTACACTAAAACTAACCTTTCCCACTCAGTTCACCATCACAGCTTCCAGCAGTCTCAAYACATTGCCCTTGAAGCTTCACAAGTTTATTGCAAGCTGTGTATTTTATTATTTTCATGTATTTCATTGCATTAGTAATTCAAACAAAACAAGGCCAGCCATGCATTGCTTTGGACTGACAATTTACTTCCAGGAGTCCAGCCATACAACAGCTGCAAAGACAGTAGCCACACAGGTTGCAGATCTTCCACACACTCAGGAAACTAAGATTATCKCATCACTTTCTTATTGGGAAGCAGAGGCAGGTATCAGCTGCAGCAGGTTAAATGTCACTACAGATTAAGCACAGAAGACCAATGAGTAGGTAACTTAAATGCACCCTGGCTACACCTCCCTCCAAACACCTCTCCCTTGTGGCAAAACATTGATCAAAGTCAGCTCAGCAGTTCTTCGCAACAYATCAAAAACACAAAATTGCAAGGTGACTGGAGCAGTGTTCAATTTGCTGTTAACAGGAAATGGCAGCAGGACYTTTTGCTGTTGCAGAGCTCACTACCTCCACTGCTCCCTCCATCTAACTAAAGCAGAGCAGCTCACTCTTTCTCCTCTGGCCATCAAAACAGAGACAACTCACCCAATTGTTTCTTCTTGAAACTGAAGTCCACGCTAGTAATAGCATCTCTGTGGCCTTTGAAGTGTCTCTCCAGGGATGGGTCTTCCTAGAAGACAAGAATGTTCAGGCACCACAGATTTAAGAACCATCTTTGCACAATAAAATAATTTTATTTCTATAAGAAGTCTATAACCAAGCCACATATTCACACCACAAAAAACAGGTAGAGGCAAGAACTGTTGTGCAGGCAACTGCACAACACAAAACACAAATTTCACAGGTATCAAAAATTTCAAAAGAGGCAAATTATCCAAGCTGTTATTAGCTTGGATCTTGGGTGACTGCATAAATCCTTCATGCATTTTTACAACACGCTGCTGGCACAGACACTTTAAAGCTGACTATAGAACAGATAAGCCATGTCCACGATCACCTGAGCAAGCAGCCAAGCTCAGCTTTGCTCTGACAGCTGCTCACCTCAGCTCAGGTGTAGCCAAGAGGCCACTATKTGCACAGAAGAGGCAAACTGACAATGTTTAACACATCTGTTGAAACAGGCAGGAGGAATGAGAACTGCAGCAAAACAAACTGACAAACTACCCTTCCCACAGCATCTTGCTGCAAAGGCCAAACAAAGCCTGAGGGCAGGCAAAAAAACTAACAAAGACCCGAGAGAACTCCTACAAGTGATTTTGAAAATCGCCCAGACCTCAGGACAGGCTGATTAGCCATCAATCCCTGCTCTCACACACACTGCCCCTGCCTCCCTGGCAATCCCCACCACAGGCCTCACCCACTCAGGATTTGAAGAGAGCCCCCAGCCCCACAACAGGGCAGGCCTCCCKCCTCATCAGCCAGCACCAGCCCTCCTCAGATGCAGAACCTCTCCAACAGCCCAGAGGTGCCGCCCCACAAACACAGCCCAACCCCGGCCGCAMCAGCACCCCAGACCCGGCAGCATTWAGCTCCCCAAGCCCCKCTGTCYCCAGCCCCACCTGCATGATGCCACCCCACAGCAGCAACGACCTTCCCCTAACCCCAGCACTGCTCTCACCGCCAGCCCAGCCCCAGARCCCTCCACAGCACCACACACACCAGGGCCGGCACCAGCTCTGCCTTCCCCTTCCACCCTTCCCTGCACCGTCACAACTCTCCCGGCCGGGACACAACGGCCCAAGGACAGCCACCGCCGCCATCCCCGCTCAGCGCCAGTCCCCCGAACACTCCGGGAGGCCCGAGCCCCACCGCAGCGGCCCCACACGGGCTGTTCTGTTCTGTTCTCTCCGGCCCGGGCGCCCCTCACCTGGCACACAGCGGCCATGACGCCCCGCGGCCGCCGTTCGGTTCCCGCGCCGCGCGCGCCCCGTAGCAACGGCCCCGCCCTGCGAGGGGCGGGCGGGAGAGGAGAGGAGAGGAGAGGAGAGGAGAGGAGAGGAGAGGAGAGGGGCGGGCCCGGCCTGAGGGGCGGCCATGGCGGGCACGGGGCGGGAGCTTGGTGGATTCTCAGAGCCGAGAATATGGCTCATGCCGTGGGGCTCGGGTCCTCTGAGCACATCCGGCCCCGTCAAGGGGCTCAGGGCGCTGGGGAAAGCCCTTCCCGCGCTGGCATATCGGTTACTCCGGCAGGCTCGGTGCCGCTCCCTGAGGAGCCYGTCTGGTGCCCAGCCACCCGACTCCTTCGCCTGACTCCTGCTTGTGGGGCTGATGGCTCCAAAGCCAATGGAGGCATCGCCGGGTCTCAGCCAGGGGAGCACCACAAGCCTGTGCTCTCTCGGGCTAAGAACCCGGGCTGGTCACTTCCCAAGAAATGGTTCAGCTGGTGGGAGATCAGGTGCTTCTGTTTAGTYTTCTGGTGTTCGAAACAGGAGCTCACCTTGCGGTTGTGCAAAGAGCACAGGACAACTGAGAAAGGCTTATTCTTCCAAAAGTTTAATACCAACTCAAATCTATTTCTTCCAACTCTATTCAGCTCTAGCTGGGAGCAGCACTACTAATTAGACATTGTGGACTGGCCACCAGCTGCTTTCTAGTGGGTGCCTGTGTGAAGCACAGATGTGCTACCCCATGAAGCTCAGGTTAACCATCTGGGCATCTAAAGGGGCTCTTCATCCATCTCTTCTGCATCTGGGCCCCTTCCTTTAAGGACACCTCTCCTCTTGCACGTTTCTGACAGCCAGGGGTGTTCTCTGTTGAAGCTGGGGTTATAGTAGTAAAGTATCTAAAACAGGCAAAGGMGAAGAGTTAGAGCAACATCCCAAGACTGGAAAACCCCTAAGTTACTCCAAATTGCAGTGCAGGATCATGGACTCTGAGGGCCATATAGAGCCTAAAGCTCAGGCTAAAGTGTTATGTGACTTGTGTTCAGTTATCACCACCCATGGAAATTTGCCTTCTGAGAGCAGACTGGTGTATGATTTTCAAAAGCAGAACTGCTTTCAAAAGCCAAAATTATTTCTATGCAATTTCAGTGCAGATATGAGCAGGCCRATAATCCTGTGGCCCTTGGATGCATCTGCTTGGCATTGGACCAGTGCCACAGGAAGGTTTCACATTTGGTGCAGTAGGAGACAAGAGTAAAGACATTCAGAGAAATCAGGTATGCTGAGTCTGTCCCTTTAATGGGAAACTCAGCCAGTCTCACCAAAATGTATCTTATCTGCATTTCTACTAGTCAGAAAGACTCACTCAAACCTGCCTGAGCACAGCCTGAGAAAGAAAACCAGACTGCTTCCTTCCATCCCCAATTCTCCATCACAGAATCACAGAATGGTTTGTGTTGGGAGGGATCTTAAAGATCATCTAGTTCCAACCCCACTGCCTTGGGCAGCGATACCACTCACTGGACCAGGTTGTTCAGAGCCCCATCCATCCTGGCCATGAATACTTCAAGGGGTGAGGCATCTACAGCCTCCCTGGCTAACCTGTGYCTGTACCTCACCACACTCATAGGGAAGGATTTCTTCCTGATTTCTAATCTAAACCTGTCACTCTCTGCCCATATAAAAAGTCCCTCTCCCTCATTTTTATAAGCTCCCTTATAAAAGGTGGCTTCTTTTCAACTTGCAAATGGCCCTCTATGGCGAGGCCTTATTCACAGTGAAGGTTCCTCTCTCCCCGAAGACTATCACAAGCATTAGTTGCTGTGCAGAGCAGCTGCTGTACCTGGCTGTGAGCAGAAGCTGCTGCTTCCTCTGCCAGGAATTCAGGCAGGGAGGCAGATCTTTGGAAATTCCGATTCATTTTGGTGAATCCGTACGCATTCAGCTGTCGCATGAAACTTTTCATTTTCTGTGTGTGAAAGACCTGCTGTCCTTCCCTGCCCAGCACCTCCGCTTCAAAGAGATCTTTGTTAATGGCCACACACTTTCCACCCTCACTCCACCAAATAGACTGAAACTTGCTGCTTTCCAGCATTTTCCAAAGCTTCTGTGGAAAGCGCAGGGACAAGAACTCTTGCTCCATGGCCATCGCCCTGGACAGCTTGGCTGTGTCCTGCCAGACAGCAGACAAAGGCCAACTGGCACCAACAGACTGCAGGTTCCAATGGAATGTTCTGGCACATCACTGTGGTGCCAGTGCTGCAGTGTGGGGACATTGCAGGTGACATCTCAGTAACAGCTGGCAGTGGTTTCCGTGGCTGCCATGTGAAGCAGCCTGAGGAGAAACTGCTGAAGGGGACTTGTTGCTTCTCCCTCCCAGAGCCACTGATGGTGGGACTCCAGAGCCCAGCAGTGTCCACAGAGCTGGCCTGGATGRCTGTGGGCAAGGAGAGGCCTGGGCCATGTCTGGCTGCAGCCAGGAGTGGGGCCCCAGAGAGGAGCAGGGACAACCTGGGCATCCCAGGGCCCTGTTTGGAAATCTTTCCAGCTCGGCCCCTCTGGCATCTGCAGAAATGTGGCTCCCTGGATGACTGCAATGCAGAAACAGCAGCTCTAGTCTGGAAAATCCTTTTCTTGACATCCCCTGCCCCAAAGCAGCAGGGATTCCCTGATGTCAACCCATTGTCCTTGCAAACTTCTTGAACAGGATTGCACTTTTCTATTTTTRTCTAGTGGATTTAAAACCAGCTGGAAGAGATGGACCAGGAGACACACTTGCTTCATTTCTGACAGGAGATGCAAAAGCAGTAATTTCCTCTTCACCCATGAATGGCCTGGCAATTGGGGGCTGAGGGAGCAAAGCCCAAGCCCTCACTGAGGAGCTGCTCTGATTCCCTTTATCTGAATCAGTCCTGCTTTGTTCATACAYGCAGAGCCACAAACACAATCCCACAAACCGGTGTTCTCAGGGAAGCCATCCACCCTTCTCCCTGCTGCACTGCCATCTCCCAGTGAGATCTGCCGGTTCAGAGGTGTTTGTGTGCCTGAAAAGCTCTGCATTCCTCTGTGCYCTTTGAGGTACTGTGTCTGCAGAGATACATTCCTCCCTCAGACGTGATCTTTCTGCCCACAAAGCTATGGATTTTGGATCTGGAAATCTGAAGTGGTTTCCAGCATGGCCTGACTTGTTCCTCATTAAATGCTTTGGCATTTGAGTATTAGCTTTTCTTTCTCTACACTGAAATATATATTAAAAAAAAAAAAAAAAAAGATATACATGATACTAAATATGCCCGAGGCCTGAAAGCATCTTGTACAATCCATTTTAGAGAGATGAAAACCCAGAAACACATTGTGATTGCACTCCCACTTATAAAAGCAGGAAATGGGAACACTTGCTTTGACTGAAGGATTCCARCACCCTAAAAAACACCCCAAGCTGCCCTCTAGATAATACATGCGCGTACATCAGGTGGCCATGAGTGGTTAATTTGCTTATCAAGTCCTCAGCCCTGGGGTGCCACTGTGTAACTTCACCAGACAGAAGTGACAGAAGAACATTGGTGTGACTTTCTCACCTGTGGGATTTCAGAGAAAATGTCAAAAGAGAATTAAAGAAAATTCATGTCACGGGGGGGAAGTGCTCTCAGGGAGCTACACACATTGGTTCAGTGGTAGAAGTGACAGAGTTTTGAATAGCCCAGTTCAGCTATTTAAACATCTTTGTGGCATTATGTGCCATGGTTTTGGGCAGGGTGGGATTTTTTCAATCCCTCAGAAGCAGTGGCCCTGGGAGCCAGCCCCCTCCTGACTCGCAGCCAGGCAGGAGGATCTCAGGCCGTGCGCTGTCGCCCCAGGGTCACCGCGGCTGGAGGGACTGCTGCCGTCCTTCAGATGGCCACCGGGGGGCAGGCTGGGGCCTCAAACCGCCTCTCTTGGATCAAGAAGGAAAAACGAGCAGAAAAACGGGATAAAATGCAACACGGCTTCATTAGAGATGAATCAGGCCAATCTAGGCAGCTTCTTTGTGAAGAATGCCGTAATTCTGTGTGATAAAAGCGCTGAGCTTGCCTCTTTCAAATGCCGCTTCCCAGCTTGCAGCCTAGACATTATCTAGTAATTCTCAGCAAGTTCTTCCCTGGGCTTATTTGTATCTCTGCCAGAAGCCCCAGGATCTGCCCCCTGTCACATCAACAGAGCCTTGCATTGTCAGCCCTGCCAAGGCTGTGATCCCTGCACGCTACAAAGCAGCAAAAGCTATTGCAGAGCATCAGACACACCCAGAATTCAGGTGAGTCCTTCTTGCATGAAATTACAGTTAACCTTTGACTTCAAGCCCAATTAATAAAGCCCTGAATTTCTCTCTAGAGTGAGTGGGTCTAAGTTTAGCAACTAAACTTAATGTTTACCAGTTCTATACYGCAAATAACAGTTCTCACGTGTTCTGTTAATACTTAAACTGCTGAGCATACTGATCTCTACACATACCTTTGCAGTTCTAAGAAAATTCCAAGGGACAGCATGCAAAGCTTCAGAAAGCCACCATGAGACTTCTGAAAAAGTTGAGGTTCTCAACAAGACCAGTGGCAGGAAGAAGTATTTTGCCATCTACAAAGGAAGCTCCAAGAGATATGGAGTTGGTGTAAGCAATGCACACAAGCTAAGATGGAACAGCACCTACACCCAGGTCTCCCAGTTGCTAGCAGCACTCTCAGAACAAGGACACCCTGTGCCCATGATCACTATGATCCCAGCTTGGGTCTTTCACAGCTGTTTTGTGTCCTATCCCAATACATCCTAGAGATATAGGCAGTGGCCTTGGGCATCCGTCAAAATGACCATCTTGGATGTGACAGTCACCCTGTTACTGGCACTTTGCATCCAGGGAGCAAAGCAGGGACATAGGCAACCTAAGCACATAGCTACAAGGAGACAAAAAATGTAGATGAAGATTGGCAGCCCAGAGAGTTGTTGTCCAACCTCCCTTACTGCTGCTGTGGAAGGAGGCAGCTGCAGACAGGTTAGAAACTGCAGAAGGGATCAGATCCACCAAGCAGCTCAGCTGGTGATAGTGACATGATCCCATTGCTTCCGTGGGGTGAGGCTGCTTTATATCAGCTGAAGATGTAACTTGCTGCCAATCAGTTATTTTTTCTCTTACTAATGACTTTGTCCTCCCCTGTGTGCCAAACCTGTTTATTTATAGCCCCCTTTTTTTTCCTCCCACCTGCCTTTGTGCTTATTACCCTTCCTTACAGAGTGAAGAAAAAGACAGGAGGAAAAAGAAACCAACTTTTCCTCCAGTAAGTGCTGACCTAAATCCAAATTTGTTCAAGCAAATTTGGAGAGCTTTGATCCTGCATAAGAAGAGAAAGAGAAGGGGAGCAGCCTCTCCTCCTATCAGAACAGATCTTTACTGCTGCATAACAACCAGGCAATGAAGCAAAAGCCACGAGAGTTTAGAGGAAGCTCAGCCAAAGGTCACCTGGCTGCCCCAGGTGCTCCTTATCAGAGCCTTGAAAAGAGGGAGGAAAGTGACATGAGCTGATTATAGCAGCAGCAGCAAAGAGCTGACAGGGCTGGGGAAACCCTCACCACTCCACATACAGAGGGGCTGCTGTTATAAAGAAAAGGGGCTGGACAGGGGCTGTCCTGGAGCTGCTCAGGACACCAAGAGAAAATATTTTTGCTTCAGATCTGAAGTATCTGCTAGGCAGAGAGCCAGAAAGAGCCATGTTAATTGCAATACCCTATTTTACTTCTGCCTAGTCTTTGCAGTGGATTTGTACTACTTTYACTGCTCATCCATGTAGCTGAAGTGCTGAGGGGAAGGGTGACAAGGGGACACAGGCTGGATCACCCGAGAAATACACTGCTACTCCCTCTGTGAAGCTATATAGTTCTATATAGTTCTTCAGCCACCCAAGAGACAGGGAGTGAAGGGAGCYCATAAATGCCTACAGAACTAGCCTAATAGAGGAGAAGGATTTAGGAGCAAGCAAACCCGGCAAGCTGAATCCAGCCAAAATACAATCTGCAACTTTCTCAGCATCTACAAAGCTGTCTCTGACCACTTGCATCAGTTSTAGTGTTTTAAGCCACTCTAAGATCTTAAAATCTGTTACAGGATGTAGATCAAACCTGCCTTTAAAATGTCTCCAGCACAGATGGCCCAGCTGTGCTGATCTTGCTGAGCAAGAGCAGGTGGCTCCTTTYAGTCCTTGAACTTTCTCTTCTGGTGCCTGCAAGGGTGACCAGAGTTCAGGCTTTGCTGAACTCACAATTACATCAACCAAGAGCCCAAAGTGCACAGAAACTGGTGCTAGGAAAATGCTAGCTGAGTTCACACGAGTGCAGCTGGGACCTTTGGAACACAGAATTCCTCACTCGTGGGGCACGMGTCAAGTGCCCACACCCAGCAGGGGCATTGCCACACAGACCATGGGGCTGGGACAGGCCTGGCCAGGGCAGGTAACACTGCATGGACTAGCACCACCCACCTACAAAGCAGGTGTGTATTGCCAGTGCCATGAAGCGTGTTTCAGTATTCATCTCTCCCCATGGGGCCGCTTTCCAAACAACATTGATCATTGGACTGGATCACATTTTGCCTTGACTTTTAAACCTCTAATTTTATTGAAAAGTTCTTTGTCTGAAAATATCCCAAATCTGGGTCCCCACTTTGCAGATTAGAGGAGGGTATCAGTCAGCCCCTGCTGGAGAGTGTCAAGTGTCCACGCAAAGTGTTACATGGGAAAAACTAAAAGGATTAACACAACCATGCTGAGAGTAGCGTGAGCAGGAGGACATCAGCCTTCCCAGAGAAACTCCTGCTGACAGCAGAGTTTGGTCAGCACAGGCAAGCACAAAACTGCCCAGTCCTTCTTCTAAAGCTCTACACTCTCAGGAGCCTTGCACCTCCTGAAGACCCAGAGCTGGCTTCTCTCCTTGCCACACACCATTCCTGCACATTGCAGGGAGGAATGGCATCAGCAGGACCAGGGCAGACCACAGAAAACCTCCAAATACCTGTTACATTTGCTGCTTTTACAAGCTGAAAGGAAAGATGCACCTGTTTGCAGAATGTCAGAGCAGCCCTGGTTCCAACCAGCATTAACTCTRTGGCACCCACCTKACCATCTGCCCTGCAGCGCTTTCCCCTCTCTGAGCAGAGTGCAGTTATTAGAGACAGACCTTCCTGCAGTGAACTGAACTGTGTGAGGGGATAGTGCTTCTTTGTATTTCCAAGCCAGTTTGAAGCAGACAGAACCAGATAGTGGAGGGCCCACTGCCCAGCACCCAAACCAGTAACTTCCTTGCACAGATGATTCGCCCTTCCAACATCTTATCCTCAGAGAGAGAAAGAGACTCCTGGTTTCCTTTCTTTCCAGTGCCARCAGGAGATCAGCCTTAGCTGCACATTTTGGTGCTGCCATGACATTGACACTTTTGTGCTGGGACATCTGTCTTGCTGAAGCCACTAAAGGGCAAGTGGGAACGTTAAAGACACAGAACTGTATAAGAGACTTTTCCACTGTTCAAACAGGACAGGATAACCAGAACAGTTTACTGTTCAAACAGATTATTACTAGTTTTATTTAGCTATGTCTATTAAACTTCATATCCTTACTGTGTTCCAGCAGTCTCTGTAAGCATGGGAGCAGCTGCCAGTGGAGATGGGTGGGCTTCAGCAGACACCTGCATGTCACTCCAGACTGACCATCTGGGCTTCTGGTCAGGCCTTTCATCCAACCCCGCTGCAGCCAGGGCTYTCTTTTTGAGGGCAGATCTCCTTTTGCACATTCCCAGCAGCCAGGGATGTGCTCTGTTGAAGCTGGGGTTATAGTAGTAGAGGATCTAAAAAAAAGAAGAGTTTGTTGCTAGTATTCCAAGACTGGAAAAACACAAGCTACAAGAACTAGGACTCTGAATTGCAAAAGAGGAGCACACTTAAGAAAAAGAACTCTGAGGGCTCTGTGGAACCTGAAGGTCCAGCTAAAGCATTATTGTGACCATTGTGTTCAGCCATCACCACCCCTGAGGTTTTCCCTTCTGGGGGGCAAAGCAGAACAATTGCTTTCAAAAGATATCACTATTTCTCTGCAGCTGCAGTGCAGATATGAGCAGGCAGGTAATCCTGTGGTCCTTGAATGCATCTGCTTGGCATTGGGCAGGTGCCACAGGAAAGTTTCACATTTGGTWCAAGACACAGAGCAAAGACATTCAGAGAAATCAGATTACACTGAGTCCATCTGTCCCTTTAATGGGTTCAGACTCAGCCGATCTCACTGAAATGTATCTTATCTGCATTTCCACYAGTCAGAAAGACTCACTCAAACCTGCCTGAGCACAGCCTGAGAAGRAAATGAAAAATGAAACTCAGAACAYTTGCTCCCATCCCCATCTCCATCCCCTCTATGGCAAGGCCTTATTTGCTGTGAAGATCCCTCTCCCCCCAGACTATCAGAAGTGTTTGTTGCAGTGTAGAATAGCTGCTGTACCTGGCTGTGAGCAGAAGCTGCTGCTTCCTCTGATAGGAATTCAGGCAGGGAGGCAGATCTTTGGAAATCTCGCTGCATTTTGGTGAATCCATAGAGGTTCAGCTGGCGGATAACACTGTCAATCTGCCGTGTGTTAAAAACTCGCTGATGAACTCCCCTGCCCAGCACCTCCACTTTGAAGAGATCTTTGTTAATGGCCACRCATTTTCCACCCTCACTCCACCAAATAGACTGAAACTTGCTGCTTTCCAGCATTTTCCAAAGCTTCTGTGGAAAGCAGAGGGGCAAGAATTGATTGTCTTTGCCCATGCTCTCATTGGAAAGAGAAGCTCGTTTGATTTTGCGTCTGTCCTGGCCAGGCCGGACATTCTGCTCCTCCTCCATGGCTTTTGTGGCAGTGCCACAGGGCACAATTTCCCCCTGTCCTGGAAGGCCAGGAGAAGCCATGTCAGCCCCCTGCCCCAATGCATCTGGAGCAGAGAGGGGTGGTGTTTCTGTAGGAATCAGCTTGCTTTTCTATTCTCACAGGTGGACTGAAGCTTCCCTCATTGGCCATCACCCTGCACAGCCATACCTCGTTCTCCCAGTCAGTGGGCAAAAGCCAACTGGCCATGGCTGACTGTGAGTTCCAATGGAATGTTCTGGCACATCGCTGTGGTGCCAGTGCTGCAGTGTGGGGACATTGCAGATAATATCTCAGTAACAGCTGGCAGTGGTTTCCTGCCATGTGAAGCAGCCTGAGGAGAAACTGCTGAAGGGGACTTGTTGCTTCTCCGTCCCAGAGCCACCGGTGGTGGGACTCCAGAGCCCAGCAGTGTCCACAGAGCTGGCCTGGATGGCTGTGGGCAAGGAGAGGCCTGGGCCATGTCTGGCTGCAGCCAGGAGTGGGRCCCCAGGGAGGAGCAGGGACAGCTGCARCCTTGGGCCCTGTTTGGAAATCTTTCCAGCTGGGCTCCTCTGACACCTGCAGAAATGTCCTCGAGGATATCAGGGAGAGAGGCCAGCCCAGGGGACCAGCCCAAGGGACTGCAGTGGACTGCATAGGGAGAGCTGGGAAAGCCCAATCCCGATGCCAAAGGTGGAGACCAGCCAGGGCCTGGCTTTCKGGGTGGTGGTGACAGAGAAGAGGCATCCCAGACATTCTCCAGCATGGCTGGGAAATGGGGGAGCAGCTGCTCAAGATGTACAGGGTTTGCATATGCAGGGCAAGTGTTAGGGCTCAGCTGCATTACCTTGGCAAGCACAGACTTTCTGTGAGCAGACACCTGCATGCCCTGTGGAGGAATCAGTGTGAACACCTCCATCTCCATGCCAGCAGGAGTTCCCTGGACAGGCAAAGTGTCTTGTCAGCTTCCTGAGGGGCAGCTTTTCTCCACTCCTCATCCAGACCCAATGCAGCTGGGCCTCTTCTTTTGTGGCCCACTCTTGGCTGAGACCCTTCCAGCACCTGGGAATGCTCCATCCTAAAGTTCGGGCTCTAACAGAATCATAGAAGCTAGCAAGTGCAGAGGGGGAGAGTTAATTGCAGCCAGTTCAAGCCTGAAAAACAAAAATACATGAGAACTAAGACTTTAGTCTTAGCYAAAAGCCAGACCTGGGTATTGAAGAGGACTGTTAGAGGCATGTGAAACCTCAACCATGGGCTGGCTCAAATGTTACAATATGGTTCTGTTAAGTGATAACCAGCCCTGGGTTTTCACCTGAGAAAGTCTTGAGCTGTCCTGAACCACTGTGGACAAAGAGTGACCTGGACCATGTTCAGCTGTACCTGGGAGTGTTTCCCCAGAGAGCAGCAGAGATAGCTGCAGCCTTGGGCACCCTTTGGGAAGCTTTCCAGCTGGGCCCCRCTGACACCTGCAGAAACTCCCTGACAGCCCTTACACGTTTTGTGATTCTCTAGAAAAACACCTTACAAGCTCCCTGGTAACAAACTAGCCTTTCAATTGGCTATGAATCGTTCTGCCAAGCGAGGGGAAAGTGTTTTCCTTGTTGAAACACATTGCAGCAAGTCTGCCTCGAGTAAACACACTTCATGCCAGCAGGATCAATGCAAACAACGTGTCTTGGTACCCAGTTCTGAGCCACTGTTTGTCTCTCTCTCGCAGCCCAGTGTGAGGCAGTTTGGCTGCAGCATTCTGTGATCTCTGGAAGAGGGGAGGCTATTTCTGAGGTGACAGAAACCCAGTAGACGACTGACAGCCCAGAACAACCCCTGAGCTCACCTTGTTAGCACTGCCAGGTTGCTGTTCTCTAACAATCTGTTCYAAGCACTGGCTAAGTTTGGAAACAGTGCTAAAAGCAAGCTTTTCATGGTCATGCCAATGAATGAAGAGCTTGTCAACAGAGGGAGGGGGACAAGCAGCACAAGGGAGAAGTAAAAACATGACTATATTTCCTCTATAGARTTGTTTATGTCTAAGTGGGAGTCCTTCAAACTGCTCCAATAGAGCTTTAATACTGTATTAAGTGCTGGGAAATAGAAGCAGAAGATATTTCACTGTCTGGCTTCCATCTTTTGCAAATGTGAATCGTCTATTCCAAACACAGATTCAACAAGCCAGTTCCTAACATGTTCTGACCCTTAAAAATTGTCCAAATTCAGCTTTTGACTTCAGCTTTATATCCAGAAAATCCTCAGCARTTTAGGGTTACTCTAAGGGTGAAGCTCACCAAGCCTTAACAGAAGACAAGGAACAGCAACATGCAGTTGTTACCAGCAGGGCAAACCCTCTGGGGTGAAGAGCCAGGACACTGTGATCACAGCCACATCTCCCAGCTCAATTTTCAGGAAGGTTGCATTTTTTCCTGTGAAAAAAGAAAGGGGAAGAAAGGTGCTCGTTGTCCCAGGAAGATGGACAAGTCAAAAAACAGGGAGGTGCTACATTTGCAGTGAGTTTGAGGTGTGCTGCTTTGAGTTCTCCTGAGGTATAGGAGAAGCCTGTAGRTGTAGGAGTCTCCTGCAACACCTCAGGCCTTCTCAGAAAAACTTATTTCCCACTGCAAGTCCCCCACCCCTGCATTTCTTGGTCGGATTTACTCCCTCTTGGAGAGCAGACACATTCCTCTGCCTCTACCTTTCAGCTCAATGCCAGGCCTGCAGTGTGCCTGATAGATAAACCAAGCCCTGGCACAATCAAGCACATTCTTGTCTAGCACAGTRCCTTGACCCATTGATGAGTTCTTTTTTTATCATCTTCTGGAGATGTGGGAAGCAGCTGGAACCCAGGATCYGTGGAAGGAAGGGACAGCATTTCAAGCACTTGAATAATAGAAAGATCAGAAAGGTTAGGCTTGAACYGAGTGAGGCAGAGGAAGCCCATAATCCCTGCCAGGAGGATGAGCAATGCAAACTGTAGATGCCTGCATCTGGAGAGATTTTCCCCACTCACAGCAGAAGAATATGTTTTAAGTAGCTGCCTTTTGGCCTTCTGTTTAGTTTACTCTCCCAAAGACAAAACCAAAAGTGACGCCATACCCCACATTATTGAGTGCAGAAGGAAGCATCTGGGAAGGGCGGCAAAACATGACAAAGTCCAGACCAGGCCAACAGAGACATGCACAACCCCTCCTGCTCAGCTGCTGAGTATGTAGATATTTATCTGTTACAGCCTGCTATGATAGCTGAATGTAAAATACTTGCTGGGCTTCAGAATGCTCCAAGCAKCCAGGAGGAGAGCAGGGGGAATACCAAACGCAGCTGCTCATCAGGGATTGCTGGGTTCCTTCAATAATCACCACTGAATGAAAGGACCAGACCTTCAGCTGATGTGAGCAGACCCCACAGCCTCTGCCACAGCTGCATTCATGCTGACTCCCGTTCAAGGGCTGTATGGCTACAGCTGTCAGGCTCCTGGCAACCTGTAGCCTGTGCCAAGCAGAAGCTGAGGAGCAGAATGAGGAAGTGATCCACTGACATTTGGTCTGTGTGAGGGACYTCCTCAGAGAATCAGCAAGAGAAAGACACTGCCTGCCCAGGAAAGTGCTGCACTAAACCTRGAGAACAGCCAAGCATTGGTTCAAGCTGGCTGATTTGATCACAGAAGCCAGGACTTCTGCCAAATACAGGCACTGGGTGAACACTGTTATAATTAGAGCTGAGGTGCCAGAGCAGTTGTTTCTAACTCCTATTATTTTTATTATGTATCCTTCAGAATTTTCAGAGTAAGTATTAACCTGAAGAGAGATGGTGTCCTATTTCAGGGGATAGGAGAACTACATGCTACAAACATCCTGTTTTGTTTTCTTAGTTAAGCAGAACACCCCTCATTGCAAAGCTAGGTGTACCAAGAAGGTCCTAACTATAAGGCAAAGGGAAAGGACTTCACTTTCTAAATCAACTTATTGAACAATTAGGGTTGGCAGCATTTAGTTCTGTCAAATTACCGCAAAGATAATTATTCTAATCAGCAAACATTTATTAGAAATTGTAGAGGTACAGTAAAGGACCAGCAGAGGAAGGGATCAGCCATTTCATCTACAACAGTCCTGACCTTCAGGGAAAAATCTCTCTAGCACAACATGGTTGCCATAAATACTTACACCATGACAAAAGATGTCAGAAATGCAAGCTGTTGACATTACAGGATACTCAGCCAAAGCAAAACAGTATGGCTTTCAAACAGTGAGTTTAAAAACCAGCAAGTTTTATGACAGYGTGATATGCTATCCTAGAGGGCAGGAAAGTGCAGCTGACATTGAACACAAATATACTATTTTTTTTTTAAGGAAGTCATTTCCAAGTGACACAGAACTGTTTAAGTCATTGCCAAGTTCCAGATCTAAACTAAGCAAGTTCATAGAAGTTCATCAAGGTCGGACGGGTTCACCAGAAATTTTGTTCTTTTAATGCTTAACACTTCTTTTTTWATTATTTCTGGGCTATATCCTCTGGCTCAGGGGATTGTCAGGAGCACAGTGCACACCAGCATCTTCATTTAGAGTCTGCTGCTAGCTGGTTGGACAYTTGCTCTGACACACTTGTCACATACAGTCAGCCAAGACTGAAGTATTCAAGGTTCAGTGTTGTTTGTGCAAAACAAAGCCTCACTTGACAGTGTGGGATTTCACAGGCTCATTTCTCAAARTATCTTCTCAAAGATGCTCCTTCTGTCTCTTGTGAGCCTGAAAAGACAGGGCACCATCCCCATAGAGGGCAGACACAGGGCTGCACTGACTCTTGTTTGTAAAGTATTACACCATTGTGCAAGCAAATAGTCCAACCTCACATGAAAAGACATCTTAGATAAAACCCACACATGAGATTAATCACACTGATGTTGCAATTATTTGTGTCATGGATAAAAATGACCCAAAGAAGAGGAGGATGACAGTTTTCCATCATGGCATATTTACACTAATTATAAACAGAGATTCCCAGCTCTCCTAAGCTAGGCCAAACAGCTAGCACCTACCTGTTTCCTGTTATCTTTGCTGAAGACTATGCTAGAGCAGATTTTCTGCCACATGTCTGGAGTGGGCTGC